TTAATAGACGTCTTTCAGAACGCAGTCCTACACAACCTACATCAAGTAAATCAAATGGCTGAAAAAATGAGAATATATGTTAGCTGAGGCACACAGCACATGCCAGAGGGGAATAGAATAACCTGAAAGAAAATTTCACTTGATATTAAGTAACAGATATAGAGCTGGGGTTTGTAGCAGCTCGACTAGACAAACGCTAATCGATAAAGATTCATGGTTATTAAAATCCAGGGAGGAATACGAAATGTTGTTCATTTTACGCACCACATATAGACCACCAAAGCACAGGCATACAAATCAAAAATAATATGAAAGTGCCAAAGTACAGGCCAGAGAATGAGCGAGTTTGTGAATGAATTAATAAGATTTAAAATGCGCATATATATACATTGTAAAATAGATGAGTTATTGAAATATCTAACGGAGCTAACATTAAAGCGAATAGGACGTATATGTACGTAGGTAATAAGCAGTGTTCAGTCATACTGCTTATACAATCCCGACAATAGACGAAGCCAATCGTACATATAAGTTGTCGCCATACGAATAACTCAGCTAAATAAGTTCATCAAAAGGCTTAACCAAATTAAATATGAACGAACTGGAATGTAAGTGGAGGTACTGCAAGTGAACGAATGCGGGAGTACATAGATGAGACTTAGTTTGATAGTCGCACACAACACACTAAGTACTCTCTCTCTCAAACGAGCCCCTTAACGGTACATCACAAGTACGTCCTTCATCGAAATACTCGAAATATTGTGAGTATCTTCTTATTTAAGTATTAGCAGTTTAACTAATTTTTATTTCCCCAATTCATTAACATGCAAACACCTTGCCTGCTTACCAACTTATCGCTTTACTCATTAATTTTTAACATTATTCCAACTCTTTTTTCTCTCTTTCTCCTCGTTCCAGCTCCCTGTCCTTCCTATTTCCAAACTACCCATTAACTGACTCATCTTACAAATTATACCATCCGTTTACTTAAAATCAGTGTGATATGCTATGTGGATATATTATCTGGCAAAGTTGTCTGGATTGCTTGTAATGTTGGAGCTAGTAGAGAATGTTAATTCCGATGTGTACAAAAAAAATTGAGAGTAGACTAGAGACCATTATTTACAATTAACCATTAAATGCAAGAGAGCCTAACATCACAAAAGGAGGGAGGATGGTGTATCTGACCAGCATTCATGACGGTGGGGCGATAACCTCAATCTACCCTTGTCTGTGTGGCAGAACATTTTGTTTGCTTACGGCTCCTTACGATATAGAAGGATGTAACAAATCAGTGATAATGATGTTACTTTTCCTAGTTAACCTCGTCTACAACCCATGTCAGTAACCTTGCACTTGTTTTTACTTCCTACCGAGAAATCTTATTGCAAGCTGGTCTGGACAACTATACTAAAAAAGAGCTCATTCATAACTTCTTGAGCCTCAGAGTTAGAAAGAAAAAGAATAAATAAAACCAAAAAATTATATCACTGATCCTCTTTATTATATTTTGTAAATCAACTTTATTACTAACAACTTGGTTCTTCTGAATTTCCTCTATTCTTTCAACTAACTTCCCATTAGTTATCTCACTACTGAATTGTCTTCATTAACCTACATAAGCGCAGATGTAAAGTGTTCTGATATTAAAAATGTTTGGGTAAACATACCTTTGTTTTATCCATAAACGTATGTGCAAAGCCATTGTTCGGCTTTGAACATGAATATTTTCTGTTCTGCTCCTCGTCCCGTTTTCTTTATTCCTTTTTTCAGAACTTTATTCCAATCCACATATATTAGTCTGGATATTTGCAGTAGACTTGGTTACCCTACACAGAAACATGTGAAATCATTAGCTGATGAATATAAACCAGACCTGTGTACATTTACTGCATCAATTCTTGTTATATGAAAACCCATCTGTACCATGAATCGTTTCTCAGCCCATAAGATGATTGTCGTAACGCAACCTGCGTAACTTGCGCCAATTACTCGCTTTGTACATTCCATCTTTAAGAAAACAATGAATCTTGTGAAATGTTTCATTAACTGTATACCGTTTTTAAAAAAAAAATATGTTGCTAATCTTAACATTTTGATGTTGCCTGTAAATTGGCATGTCTCTTGTAACATGTATGTTATTTGAGAATAAATTATTATTATTATTATTATTATTATATATCACATGAAAGAACAAACACCAAGTTACGCTCCTACTTTTTCTCACTGTATTGTTCCCACTAAGAAAACACTTGCAGACGGCGACCAAAGCCACCTCAATTCATAGCCTCATTGAAAGACTTGACATTCACTCACGCATGAGATACCGTGCCCTGCTTAAAGCAGCTGTGTCTGATGCATACCTTGATGCCTGTTTGCCATTACTACCATGACTAATTTACTCAGTCTCGCTTATTATCACCTCCGTTTCCCCTTTGGTCCTTACTTTTCCACCCTCTCACACTATCTTCACTATCAATCAGTTAACTTATTCAGTTTCTGAAACTTCCCTTTCTACTTAACAGTAGAGTCCTCTCTTTGTTATAATTGCATACTGTAACCAACTGATCTCCGGTCTGGTAACGTGATGGCTGCTGGTATCCTGAAACCTCACTTATCGGAAAGGCAGGTAGTGAGCAGCCAATCGTCACATAGCATGGGACAGTAGGAAATCCTGCTGGGACAGAAAAACACCGGTGTACATATTACTTATTAACTTTGCAAAATCCTTCGACGTAGTGCTCCAAGCACTCCCAATTGCGAAGATTGCGTAAATGGGCTTCACCGACCCACTCCTTTCTTGGCTCAGTAACTAATTTGAGAATCGTAAGTTTTGCACCATGGTAAGTAGAGTGCACGCGAGTTGGCAAGTCTCAACATCGGGAGTTTCACAGAATGTCGTCTTAGGTCCACTTCTCTTCCTGATATTTATTAACGGCCTGTTAGATACAGTTATCTGAGCGGCAATGATCCATGCAGATGATTCGAGGTCCGTTAGAAGCGAAAAGGATTCGACTGAACCTCAAAAAGACCTGCCTATTAAGGAATGGGCAGTGAAACATGGTTTAAGACTAAGCCAGCTGAAATGCAGCGTTAGGTACATTCTGCCTCATGTGACACAAACTGCTTACACTCTCAACAGAAGTCCGCTTCCTAATGTCTCTTCACAGCGCGGTCTCGGTTTAATAACTACTGAAAACCTCAACACTAGTTCCAGCTATTAAGAGGACGTAACCAAGGCTAATGCAAGTCTTCACTTTATGCGACGACAAGTTAGTGCTATCACCCCAGAATTATTCTTTATGTGCAGAGACGAGCAACGAAATGGGTAATAGGGTTGAAGAATAAGCATCACCACCACGCTCCTCTAGGTAATCCTCGGAAAATTTCGCATCAAGAAGCGAAAAATCAGGTTCGTGCATACTCTTTCGCCGTGGGAGTCGTTGCGAACTGTAATCCACCCCAGCCGAGGTGACTATATCACCCTTAGTGGACAGCTTTAAGAATAGACTTGAAAAACACGTACTTCACTTACGGTTAATCATCTCCATCGTGGACCAGCTGTGTCTGACGCACGTCTCGAGACTTTATCGTTAGTATTACTGCCATTCCCTCAGGTCACTAACTTAATCTGTCTCCCTTATTATCTCTGTTTAGATCTCGGTCCTCTCTCACAATCTTCACTAACAATTAATTAACTTCATTATCAATTTATTTACTCAGTTCTGAAATCTTATTAGCATTAGACTTTTCTCCTCGTTATTCTTCACATCATGACTAACTACTCTCCGCCCTGGTAACGTGATAGCTGCTGGTATGGACAAACCTGCTTTGCTGAAACAAACGTCTTCATTCAAATCACCGGACATACAAACTTATAACCAGCTGCCAACTGACTAGGATTAGACTGTCTAGTGGCTAGACCCATATTCATTGGACACTACAAGACACCTCGAACCGTGCCGAAAGAACAAGAATCGAGCGAAAAGGAATCAATTAATTCATACTAGCTCGTGAAAAATATTTTGAATATTGGATATTGGATTGTTTCCAATTTTACGGTACATCTTCGTTATACCACTCTGCTGGGTATTATCGTTTGATCTGATCAGTTTTACACTGCCTCTAACTAATAGATTCAGACCTGAACGAGGATGTATAGACCACATCTTTGAACTACGACAGGTCTTTGAACACAGACACACAATTAGGCGTCCTACAATAGTTGTCTTCTTGGACCTTAAGGCGGGTATTATCGTTTGATCTGATCAGTTTTACCCTGCCTCTAACTAATAGATTCAGATTCTCAGATTGGTTCTTGCCCAGTCATGTAAACACTGAAAATCATACGTAGTACTATTGCTCTACCAACACTCTGTTTTGTCGTTTGTTCTGATTATTTTACGTTCTTTATGTTATACACACCTTGATTCCTGTATTATTCTCGTGAGATAAGTTCTTACTTTAAGATAGTTAAAGCAAAAAACCCTACGTTAATTGGTGACTCTATCAATATACAATATAATCTTGACTGGATTCCGACTCTGTGTCCTCAGTTTGGAACTACTGTCTTCCACTCAACATACTTGGTTAAATTAAGCTTCATAATGTATTCACTGGTCAGCCATACTAACAATTTAATCATACAGAAAGTCCCATCGATCTTTGACAGATTATTCACCTAGTTAGTACATCAAGTACCCCGTGTATACTTTCAAATAACATTTTGTACTTGATGAATAAAAGTGTAGGAGTTTTATGATTCTCACCTGTAGATATTGGAAAATAGTACTTAACTAAAACTAGTACGAGACTCACCAGCTTTCTGCTTACGTTAACAACTTGAATGGTCAAAACAAACATCGTGGGTATCAGTATAGGACGTTTTTTCCCTTACGAAACTAAAAGTAACCGAGTATGTATGGGTTTATTTACTTTCTGAAATGTATTACATTTCCAATCAATTGTATCATGATACCAACTAAAGTTTTTTAAACTATATGTCATCTACTGGTTGGTATTCATTGTTACAGACACATTCCAAAGAACAGTCGGATGTAATTTGTGCCTCATTTGAGTGGGGTAGCTGGTGGCAGTCACTGCACGAAGTTTTTATCGAAATCCCGTTCCGAGAAGCCGTTGATGTGAAACAAATTATATGTAAAATTAACAATAGTACAATCACTTGTGGTCTTGTAAATCAAGAACCGTTGTTGTCGGGTAACTTATTTGGTCTCATAAAAGCAAGTGAATCCACATGGAGCCTTCAAGAAAAAAAGCATGTGAGTTTTTTTTTTTTAAGTACCATTAGTATTCAGAATCAATTTTAATTATACACTGAAATATTTAATTTTATGGTGTGAACAGACTAGAGAAAACCAGGCTGGTTCCAGACCTGAACGAGGATGTATAGACCACATCTTTGAACTACGACAGGCCTTGGAACACAGACACATATAGGCGTCCTACAATAGTTGTCTTCTTGCACCTTAAGGCGGCATTTGACTCTGTGGATCGTGAGGTTCTGTGGCAGTGTCTGTCATCAAAAGGTGTTCAAAAGAAATACATTAACCTTATACAAGCACTCTACTCGAACACCACTGGTCGAGTGAGAGCTTATGGCGAACTGTCACCGGAATTCTTTATTTCAGGTGTTGTCCGTCTGGGCTGTCCACTCTCTCCATTCTTGTTTAATTTTATCATAGACGTGCTCCTAGATATAACATTATCTTTGTCCGACTTTTCAGGAGTCGACTTTCTACCAGGAAAATCTGCTTACTGACCTAGAATATGCCGATGACATAGTTCCATTTGGTGGAGACGTTGACAAAATGCAGTCTTCTGACCACCTTGAGCAACAATGCAAGCATGTTCGGGATGCGGTTCTCACCCTCGAAATGAAAAACGTTGCTTCAAGACTGGGTTGCGTTGGCACCTGAACTAGTGATAGGGAGTGAAATAGTCGAGCGTGCAGATCACTTCACGTATCTGAGGAGTCTCATGAGTACTGATGGCCTGGTGACTGACGAAATCTCAGCTCGAATACAGAAGGCTCGATTGGCTTTCGCCAACCTGCGTCACCTATGGCGCAGGCGAGATATCCGTTTGCTAACCAAAGGACGAGTGTACTGTGCAGTAGTTCGCTCCGTCTTACTTTATGGCTGTGAAACATGGCCAGTGAGAGTAGAAGATATTCGTAGGTTACTGGTTTTCAATAATAGGTGTCTCCGAAGCATTGCTCGAGTATCGAGGGACTGCGAGTAAATAATACTGTTATTATCAAAGTGGTGCTAGGTAGGGATGACAAAACATTAGATGAAGTAGTGGAACTTCATTAGTTGAGGTGGTTTTGACATGTGTTACGTATGCCTAACCACTGACTGCCTCGTCGATCTATATTTTGCGATAAATGAATAGGTTGGACGAAAGCTAGGGGCGGCCAAACCAAAACAAGGCAGAAATCCATGAATTCACTGACAAGTGGACTTGTAGGCAGATGTAAATGCACGGATAGGGATAGCCAGGGCTGCATTTCTACAGTTAAAGAACGCCTGGAACTCCAGACAACTATCAAACAACACCAAAGTCAGAATTTTCAATACAAATGTCAAAAGAGTTCTACTGTATGGATACGGAAACTCGGAAAACTACCAAAGCCATCATCCAGAAGATACAAGTGTTTATTAACAGTTGTCTACGCAAAATACTTCGTATTCGTTGGCCAGACACCATCAACAACAACGAACTGTGGGAGAGAACAAACCAGATTCCAGTGGAGGAGGAAATGAGGAAGAAGCGGTGGAAGTGGATAGAACGCATTGAGGAAAGCAGCCAACTGCGTCGCGAGACAATCCCTCATTTGGAACCCTCAATGTCAAAGGAAAAAACGAAGGTCAAGAAACACATTACACCGAAAAATAGAGAAAGATATGAGAAGAATGAACAGGAATCAGACAGATTTGGAAAGGGAGGGCCTGGACAGAGTAGGTTGATGAATACTGGTCGACGGCCTATGCCCCATTGAGGGTGACAGGCATAAGTAAGGTTGTATATATATATATATATATATTAGTACCTTAAGAAGGATCGTCAGTGTTGTTCGAAATATGAAAATAAACGTAATGATCACGAATAACGCTAACTATTCTTTTGAGAATACACATCTTCCATCAAATATTCCAGCCAGGATATTTTAGTAGTTTGAGTGTAAATCACCTGGTCTAAAATTCCCATTTTATTAATTAAAAGAAATATGGACGAATAACATTCTTTTAAAAATTACCGTTATACATTTATAGTCCCAAATTAACAAACACCAGTAAAGCCACTATCAAAACGAATACATTTATTAGTCGGGTTTAAGAATTGTAAATGATAAGTTACCACTATTGCATTCATAATAAGTTTAGCCAGTGACTCATAACGGAGCATAGGCCTTTGAAAAGCATTCTTCGACTTCATCTGTTCTGGGCGTTCCGTTTCAGTTCTACCTAATTACTATGTATTCTTTTCGCGTTTGCTTTTCAATTCTTGGAGTGGTGCATTCCCTAGTCTTCCTCTTTCCCTTCGGTGTTCCAGTTCCAAATGAGGGCTTTCCTAATGATGCAGTTGCGTAATTCACACAATGTGTGTTATATCCACCTCCAGCGCTTTAGAAGCGGCCGAAACGTTCCTGTTTCTCGGGAGTACTAATGGTAGCGTGACTGATAAGACCAATCTACGTGTAGTCAATCAGAGTGGCTTATATTGATAGGAGCCTTTTTTGACTCCGTCATGATGTTAATCTGGGATTAAGAGGTCAGGTTTACAATATGTTGGTGATAGTAGTTTTGCTGTACGCTGATGAAACCTGGCATTTCCTAGTTAAAGATGCTAAACGACTCTGTTCAGTCACCATAGTCTCCGAAGAATTATTGACATCCTATAATCAACCAAAAACGCAAGCCTATTAAAATATAATGTATGCATTTTGATAGGTAATGCAGAATTTAATGTTGAATGGTAATATTTATATTTTATTTTCCGCTCTTCATACTTTTTTGTGGTTCTGTTATCAACTTAACAGATGACAAATAAAGTACTTAATTTTTTGGAAGAAATATTTCACAATGATTCATTGTAGTAAAATAAGCTTATTCTAAATGCTCATTTTATCACTGTTTGTTCCGTCTTGTAGATGGTTATATGTCTAATCAAAGCAAGTTCAGGTACCTGTTGGCATTCTTTATTGACTGATAACTGGAAGGCGGATCCATTAGTTTTTGATCAGATGGAACGAAAACTTACTCTTCAGAGACTTCAGGTAGAAAACCCTGGTATGGACTTTAGCTCAGCCGATATATCTGGGAACTATCATAATGGTGGACCAAAATTTCCTGTATGATTTCAATTCAACCTATTGTCATTTCTGAAATAAAGACAGTTCTTGCTAATATCTCCATTTCTTCAGAGTTTATATTGACTAATTTGTGATATTTGATATACACTTTTATGTTTTAGAATGTGGATAAAATCTTGCTTAACAGGACTTTTGTTCGTAGTTCCGTGCTCGAAACGCTAAAGTGTCCTGAAACCAGTACAGATGCTTCCCCCAATCTTAATGACCTCAATCTTTCTGGCCAAGAGGTACGGAATTTTTATGAATCACTTACACAATGTGTAACTGAAAAACAAAAAAATTCGTCACTTGATCCACATTTTTATCACTGTTCCGTATGTGGTGGCTCTTTTAATGATTTTAAACAGCATGTTTCATCGATTGGTCATCAAGTAGCTGAAATATCAAAAAAAGGTTCAAAACCATCACCATTGCTAATTCCCCCCTCAAACAAAGGTTATCAACTCCTAACTAGGATAGGTTGGCGTGATGCTGCCCTCGATCCAGAATATGAAGAACTGAAGACTTCGGAAATTCTGCTTACTGGTTCAACTAACGAGTCTAAAGCACATTCCTGCAACAAAGACGGTGGTTTAGGTGCTTCTAGACAAGGTCGACGCTTCCCTGTGGCAACTGTTTTAAAACGTGATCGTCTTGGTTTTGGATGGCCAAATAGAACAAATACTTCAAGAATTACACATTTCAACCCAGGTGATTTCAGAGCAGTTGAACACCCTAAAGACGTAAAACGATTTTGTCACTCATCCATTAAAATGGATTCAAAATATTTGATAAGAAAAATGAATTCAGAGAAGAAAAAGGAACGTATTATAAGACAAGGATTTAATTTGACTGATGAACAGTTAGCTTTGCTTTATGAAAAATAAATGCTTGAGTCATTTTATATCAAGTCCAACCATTTTCTTCATACATTCTGTACATAATTATTGAATTTTACTTCATTCTGTTTGTTTCAATGTTTTCCAAATCCATGATAAATTGGTTACACAACATACTGTCATTTTTTTGAAATCGAAGTAAAGTACAACAGTACCTCTACTTACGTCTATAAAATTAAAATCGCAATATGCTAGAATATAACAATATATATATATATATATATATATATTTCGATTACTAAAGCAGTGGTTTATTTAAAACTTAAATGAAACATGTAACAATATTTGTAATATACCTTCACTTTTATGGATGATCTTTACCTTGCGAAATGTTACAAATAGTTGACCTAAAAGGCTTTTTGAATGAAATGGATATCTAAATGTAATAGACATAAGCCTTCAGCTTATGTTATTATTTTACCTTACTTTTTAATTCTTTTATGGTCCATAAGTGAATTTCATATTTGTTGAGGAAGTCACGCTGAAGAACACTTATTTGTGGACATTATATTGGTTCCTCACTTAATACGCATTATTCGATTGAGTTGGTTAGGGAAAGTGAAGGCAGTTACTAACATTACTTACAGTTAAGTGGCCTACACATGTGCATCGATAGTGTGTGCCTAACGTTAAATTGATATCAGGTGTATCCAAGTTATTGACTATTGTCTGCATCAATAATCAAAATGTGGTGGGACTACACCTAGTAGAACATAGGTTTTCGAGCAGCATTCTCTGACCTACTCTGTCCTAGGCCTTCTTTTCATGTTCTACCTAATTGCTATATATTCTGTTCACATCTGCTTCCGATTCTTCGAGTAGTGTATCCCCTAGTTTTCTTTCGGCCTTCAGGGTTCCAAGTGAGGGCTTGCCTCATGATGCAGTTGGGTGATCCGCACAATGTGTGTTCTATCCACCTCCAGCGCTTTTTCCTAACTTCTTCCTCAGATGGAATTTACTTTGTTCTCTCCTACAGTAGATGGTTGCTGATGATGTCTGACCAAAGCATCCGCAGTATCCTCTGTGGAGAACTGTTAATAGCCACCTGTATCTTGGGGATGATGGTCTTCATGGTTCCCCAGGTTTCCGCTCCATACTGTAGAACCATCTTGACGTTTGCACTGAAAATTTTGACTTTGGCGTAGGTTGATGGTTGTTTTGAGTTGAAAATATTCTTCAATTGTAGAAATGCTGTTCTCCTTTGCCAAATCCCGCCTTCATATTTGCATCAGGTCGCGTTTGCTTATCAATCGTGTTGCCCAGGTGTGTAGACGTTGTCACATCTTCCAGAGTTTTTCCCTCAAATCTGATTTGGTTGGCGCGCGTTGTGTTTGTATATCGAGACCTACTGCTACTACTAAATTGGCCGTCTTCATCTGCGTTTGTTGCTGTGTGTGGGATATAAGAGCCAGATCATCCAGCTGCATCCGAGCTGTCCATTGTATTCCATGCTTCCCCTGGGATGTTGACATCTTCATAATCCAGTCAACCACCAGGAGAAAGGTGAGAGTAAGCAACCTTGCCTGACACCGGCCTTCACTTGGAATGAATGTGTGAGCTGTCCTCCATGCATGATTTTGAAGTTTAATCTATCATAAGAATTCCGTATGATATTGACTACCTTCTCAGGAACGTCATAGCATCATCCTGTCCATGCTGTCAAATGGTTTCCCCTAATCAAGGAAGTTGATGTACAGTGGTGAATTCCACTCAATTGATCGTTCAAAAATGATCCGTAATGTCGTGATTTGGTCAGCACACGATTGGTCCTTACGGAATCTAGCTTGCTTAACTCGAGGTTGAGCGTCTACTGAATCCTTCATTCAGTCTAACAACAGTGATGAGCACCTTCCCTTATGTGGATATTAGTGGTGCCCCTGTAGTCCTCACACTTGCTGAGATCGCCTTTCTTCGGTACCTTGACCAGGTGTCCTTTTCAATCTGTCGGAGAGTGCAGCATATTTGCAGTTACCGTTATTTCCGCTTCTGATTTTTTTCTTGCTATGTTGCCTGGTCCTGTCGCCTTTACACTCTTGGTTCGTCTGATGGCCAAGCTAATTTCTTCAACTGTTGGTGGGCCAATATCAGTTCAGAGGTCCGTAGCTTCGGCTTCGGTGTTATATGGGTTCAGTGGGGCCAGTCTATTCAAGAGTTCTTCAGATTGCTTTATCTACTTGTCGGTCATTGCTTTCCCTTCCTTGTTCTTCACTAGTTTTTCTGGTTTTATTACATTTCCAGCAAGTATCTTCATTGTGACGTATATTTGACTAAAAGCAATACTCAGGGCAAAGTCGTACTGCTGACTGTAGAGGGGTGTGACAGCAGTAAGGTGTTTCCCTCGGACAACCAGCATATGAGGCCATGCTGACTTCTCACAAGGAAGGGCGGTGTTAGCAAAGGTTGATCCTAAAAGTGTCACACCTCACCCTTCCTGACGGATTTCCGTCTCCGGCGGTAAGGGCTGCTTAATTAGGCCTTACAAAAGAGCGGAGCTAATACTCTAAAAACCTCTCATAAGAAGGCTGTTCGCAACCGGCCTCAAGTAGTTTTCTCGTTGTCTCTGTTGTCACGCTTGCAGGTCTGTATGACCGACACTAACTTTCTTTTTAGGTTCCTCAAGAAACATCCTTAGGCGGTATGGGCATCCAGGAAGTGGCATTCACCCTCATATGCGTTACATCACGCGAGACCACATTGCCACCGATGGAGCGGTTCGGTGGAGGACTATCGGTCGTTCTGGGGCACATGATTAGATTCAGATCATGCCCTAGTGCGAGCTCGTATTTGTTTGGGGCTAACTGGACGTAGGAAAGACACTGCAGGGAAACATCTTAGGGTTATACTTACTGATAGCATAGCTAAGAATATATTTTAGAAACAATTAGAAAAATCGGTTAGGCAGCCATTTAAGTATAGCCCAGTTTGGAGTGATATACAGAATGCTATAGAAACAGCAGTGATATCTTCTGGTAAGGTAAACCGTAAGGTTAGGCAGAAGCCGTGGATTTCAGTAGCATCTACCGAACTGATGGATGCTCGAAAACTTGTCCCATGTGGCTCTGAGTACGATGAGGAGCGGAGTCAGCTTAGGCGCAGGCTTATAAAAAGCATAAGCAATGATCGCGAACAGTGGTGGGTAGCGATAGCAAAAGCTATGGAAAAGGCAGTGGCGATAGGTAACAGTAGACAACTGTTCAGACTCATCAAGGAAATCGGTATTGGGAATCCGAATGTGAGTGAAACGATTTCAGAAAAGGATGGTCTTATTATTCATTCTCAATCCAAGAGAATGTATTGATGGGTAGTTCAATTGGCCTTCAGCCACACTTCGGTTGCCCACGATCTCCAGTCATCCTGAATGGCAAATCGATGTAAGTCCTCCGAGTCTGTATGAAGTTGAGAGAGCCATGGGAAATCTAAAGCGAGGGCGAGCGGATGATCGGGAACTCATCCAGTCCGGCTCTGAACATAATGAGGAGCGGAGTAGGCTTAAGCGCAAGGAAACGAGAGGCCTACGCAATGATCGCTAACAGCGGTCATAGGTAACAATAAGCGATCATTCACATTCAGATTTTTAAGTAGTGCATCTGCCTTCTGATTCGGTAAATAGCTACAATAGAAAGAATGAAAGACTTGATCTCAACCATTCAAGTCCTCCGAGCCTTTTTGAAGTTGAGAGAGCCATGAGAAATCTGAAGCGAGGGCGAGCAGCGGGTGCTGATAGATTGACCCCTGATATTTTTAAGGATGGTGACCCAGTTCTAACAGTTAGACTGACTGAGATCTTACGTAGAATTTGGGAACTGGACGTGATCCGATCCGACTGGTCTCAATCGCTGATTGTGACAATTTACAAGAAAATACAATAAGAGCAGACTAGAGAAAACCAGGCGTAGGAGAGATATCCGTCTGCTAACGAAAGGACGAGTTTACTGCGCAGTAGTTCGCTCCGTCCTACTTTATGGCTGTCAAATATGGCCTATCAGAGTACAAGATATTCGTAGGTTGCTTGTGTATCACTGGACAACCGAGTAAGCAATGCTGCTGTTAGGATGCGGGAGCCAGGTAAGGATGGCAGGTCTTTAGATATAGTATTGAAACTTCATCAGTTGAAGTGTTTGGGACATGTGCTGCGATGCCTAACCACCAACTACCTCGTCAAGCTATATTTCGCGGTGTAGGAATAGGTCGTCAGAAGGTTAGGGGCGGCCAAACCAAAACATGGCAGAAATGCATAAAGTCACTGACAAGTGGACTGAGCCATGTCGGTAGGTGTAGACTACCTGTTTGGGGCTTGCGGGATGATAGCAATCGATGGTTAGAGACCGTGAATGACATGTCTCAAAACCGTTTGCAATGGCACAGGTGCATTCATTGTGTTCTCTCAAGTCCTAACCTTCTGAATTCCTCATCACCTTTATCTTTTCCCTTTTACGTTTATTTCACTAGATTCTACTTCTTGAATGTCTTCGAACCCTAATCTCTTCGATAACTGCTGATACTTTAGCTACCTCTATTACTATGTGATTTGAATTTACAATTGCGTCTCTGTTATGATACGGCAACTTGAACTGATGTACTTATATACGAAATTCTTCGTTACTTTTCATTGATAGATTGAGGTTAGAGGTTCCTTTAGGTCTGTCACAGAGTGAAATCTGACCACATGGGATTGTTGCTTTCTTCCGACAACAATATAATTAATTATTGGCTTATTCGACTCACTGTGGAAACGTCGCCACATGATGACCATATTAACCAAAAGGATTATAGCAACTATCGATTTCTGAATTAGAAATAAGTTAAATTAGATTTTATCTAGGATTATTGTCCATTAATATTTTTAATTTCTAAGAAACTAAATTACCGTTAGCATTGTTTTAAAAATATCCTAATGGTTTTCAACGTTATGAGGGAGTACTTCACTCAGTCACACGATAAATGTTATCCGGAGTGTTCTGTTTAAGACTCAATTAACATTTTCAGCTTACCAACTCATGTAATTCAATGTATGATGTGATTGCTCGTTAGACTTGTAATGCTGGTCTGAGTTTCACTTTTGACCTCGAGGACTATTAAGTCAACTAACTGATATCGGATTGCGAGATAGTATAATAACTTAACCGGGGCTCAGCATGTATGCTATAAATTATGCTCAATCTATCCTGGTGTTACTGTTACTACCTTTATGACCATGGAAACGCTATTTGTTGCTACTTATTACAACAAAATAAGACTGTGAATGAAGATTTATTCATTCATCAGTTAGTGAATACACCACTGTTGAAAAAGATATCGAAAATAACTATGAGATACATATCCTTTCAAATATTCGATCAACAGGCGGATTAGAAAGCAGTGAGCTATTGCTATATGACACTAATTAATCAATAATTTTAACGTGTGGATTTATTTTGCAAAATACATGAGTTAACTGACTGACCTGAGAAGTGCAACTGACCACTGAATCATATATCTGTTCTGTATTTCGTTCCACATGGTTCGCCTGATCAAGATACCGAAGAAAGGCGATCTCAGCAAGTGTGAGGACTACAGGGGCACCACTAATATCCACATAAGGGAAGGTGCTCATCACTGTTGTTAGACTGAATGAAGGATTCAGTAGACGCTCAACCTCGAGTTAAGCAAGCTAGATTCCGTAAGGACCAATCGTGTGCTGACCAAATCACGACATTACGGATCATTTTTGAACGATCAATTGAGTGGAATTCACCACTGTACATCAACTTCCTTGATTAGGGGAAACCATTTGACAGCATGGACAGGATGATGCTATGACGTTCCTGAGAAGGTAGTCAATATCATACGGAATTCTTATGATAGATTAAACTTCAAAATCATGCATGGAGGACAGCTCACACATTCATTCCAAGTGAAGGCCGGTGTCAGGCAAGGTTGCTTACTCTCACCTTTCTCCTGGTGGTTGACTGGATTATGAAGATGTCAACATCCCAGGGGAAGCATGGAATACAATGGACAGCTCGGATGCAGCTGGATGATCTGGCTCTTATATCCCACACACAGCAACAAACGCAGATGAAGACGGCCAATTTAGTAGTAGCAGTAGGTCTCGATATACAAACACAACGCGCGCCAACCAAATCAGATTTGAGGGAAAAACTCTGGAAGATGTGACAACGTCTACACACCTGGGCAACACGATTGATAAGCAAACGCGACCTGATGCAAATATGAAGGCGGGATTTGGCAAAGGAGAACAGCATTTCTACAATTGAAGAATATTTTCAACTCAAAACAACCATCAACCTACGCCAAAGTCAAAATTTTCAGTGCAAACGTCAAGATGGTTCTACAGTATGGAGCGGAAACCTGGGGAACCATGAAGACCATCATCCCCAAGATACAGGTGGCTATTAACAGTTCTCCACAGAGGATACTGCGGATGCTTTGGTCAGACATCATCAGCAACCATCTACTGTAGGAGAGAACAAAGTAAATTCCATCTGAGGAAGAAGTTAGGAAAAAGCGCTGGAGGTGGATAGAACACACATTGTGCGGATCACCCAACTGCATCATGAGGCAAGCCCTCACTTGGAACCCTGAAGGCCGAAAGAAAACTAGGGGATACACTACTCGAAGAATCGGAAGCAGATGTGAACAGAATATATAGCAATTAGGTAGAACATGAAAAGAAGGCCTAGGACAGAGTAGGTCAGAGAATGCTGCTCGAAAACCTATGTTCTACTAGGTGTAGTCCCACCACATTTTGATTATTGATGCAGACAATAGTCAATAACTTGGATACACCTGATATCAATTTAACGTTAGGCACACACTATCGATGCACATGTGTAGGCCACTTAACTGTAAGTAATGTTAGTAACTGCCTTCACTTTCCCTAACCAACTCAATCGAATAATGCGTATTAAGTGAGGAACCAATATAATGTCCACAAATAAGTGTTCTTCAGCGTGACTTCCTCAACAAATATGAAATTCACTTATGGACCATAAAAGAATTAAAAAGTAAGGTAAAATAATAACATAAGCTGAAGGCTTATGTCTATTACATTTAGATATCCATTTCATTCAAAAAGCCTTTTAGGTCAACTATTTGTAACATTTCGCAAGGTAAAGATCATCCATAAAAGTGAAGGTATATTACAAATATTGTTACATGTTTCATTTAAGTTTTAAATAAACCACTGCTTTAGTAATCGAAATATATATATATATATATATATATATATTGTTATATTCTAGCATATTGCGATTTTAATTTTATAGACGTAAGTAGAGGTACTGTTGTACTTTACTTCGATTTCAAAAAAATGACAGTATGTTGTGTAACCAATTTATCATGGATTTGGAAAACATTGAAACAAACAGAATGAAGTAAAATTCAATAATTATGTACAGAATGTATGAAGAAAATGGTTGGACTTGATATAAAATGACTCAAGCATTTATTTTTCATAAAGCAAAGCTAACTGTTCATCAGTCAAATTAAATCCTTGTCTTATAATACGTTCCTTTTTCTTCTCTGAATTCATTTTTCTTATCAAATATTTTGAATCCATTTTAATGGATGAGTGACAAAATCGTTTTACGTCTTTAGGGTGTTCAACTGCTCTGAAATCACCTGGGTTGAAATGTGTAATTCTTGAAGTATTTGTTCTATTTGGCCATCCAAAACCAAGACGATCACGTTTTAAAACAGTTGCCACAGGGAAGCGTCGACCTTGTCTAGAAGCACCTAAACCACCGTCTTTGTTGCAGGAATGTGCTTTAGACTCGTTAGTTGAACCAGTAAGCAGAATTTCCGAAGTCTTCAGTTCTTCATATTCTGGATCGAGGGCAGCATCACGCCAACCTATCCTAGTTAGGAGTTGATAACCTTTGTTTGAGGGGGGAATTAGCAATGGTGATGGTTTTGAACCTTTTTTTGATATTTCAGCTACTTGATGACCAATCGATGAAACATGCTGTTTAAAATCATTAAAAGAGCCACCACATACGGAACAGTGATAAAAATGTGGATCAAGTGACGAATTTTTTTGTTTTTCAGTTACACATTGTGTAAGTGATTCATAAAAATTCCGTACCTCTTGGCCAGAAAGATTGAGGTCATTAAGATTGGGGGAAGCATCTGTACTGGTTTCAGGACACTTTAGCGTTTCGAGCACGGAACTACGAACAAAAGTCCTGTTAAGCAAGATTTTATCCACATTCTAAAACATAAAAGTGTATATCAAATATCACAAATTAGTCAATATAAACTCTGAAGAAATGGAGATATTAGCAAGAACTGTCTTTATTTCAGAAATGACAATAGGTTGAATTGAAATCATACAGGAAATTTTGGTCCACCATTATGATAGTTCCCAGATATATCGGCTGAGCTAAAGTCCATACCAGGGTTTTCTACCTGAAGTCTCTGAAGAGTAAGTTTTCGTTCCATCTGATCAAAAACTAATGGATCCGCCTTCCAGTTATCAGTCAATAAAGAATGCCAACAGGTACCTGAACTTGCTTTGATTAGACATATAACCATCTACAAGACGGAACAAACAGTGATAAAATGAGCATTTAGAATAAGCTTATTTTACTACAATGAATCATTGTGAAATATTTCTTCCAAAAAATTAAGTACTTTATTTGTCATCTGTTAAGTTGATAACAGAACCACAAAAAAGTATGAAGAGCGGAAAATAAAATATAAATATTACCATTCAACATTAAATTCTGCATTACCTATCAAAATGCATACATTATATTTTAATAGGCTTGCGTTTTTGGTTGATTATAGGATGTCAATAATTCTTCGGAGACTATGGTGACTGAACAGAGTCGTTTAGCATCTTTAACTAGGAAATGCCAGGTTTCATCAGCGTACAGCAAAACTACTATCACCAACATATTGTAAACCTGACCTCTTAATCCCAGATTAACATCATGACGGAGTCAAAAAAGGCTCCTATCAATATAAGCCACTCTGATTGACTACACGTAGATTGGTCTTATCAGTCACGCTACCATTAGTACTCCCGAGAAACAGGAACGTTTCGGCCGCTTCTAAAGCGCTGGAGGTGGATATAACACACATTGTGTGAATTACGCAACTGCATCATTAGGAAAGCCCTCATTTGGAACTGGAACACCGAAGGGAAAGAGGAAGACTAGGGAATGCACCACTCCAAGAATTGAAAAGCAAACGCGAAAAGAATACATAGTAATTAGGTAGAACTGAAACGGAACGCCCAGAACAGATGAAGTCGAAGAATGCTTTTCAAAGGCCTATGCTCCGTTATGAGTCACTGGCTAAACTTATTATGAATGCAATAGTGGTAACTTATCATTTACAATTCTTAAACCCGACTAATAAATGTATTCGTTTTGATAGTGGCTTTACTGGTGTTTGTTAATTTGGGACTATAAATGTATAACGGTAATTTTTAAAAGAATGTTATTCGTCCATATTTCTTTTAATTAATAAAATGGGAATTTTAGACCAGGTGATTTACACTCAAACTACTAAAATATCCTGGCTGGAATATTTGATGGAAGATGTGTATTCTCAAAAGAATAGTTAGCGTTATTCGTGATCATTACGTTTATTTTCATATTTCGAACAACACTGACGATCCTTCTTAAGGTACTAATATATATATATATATATATACAACCTTACTTATGCCTGTCACCCTCAATGGGGCATAGGCCGTCGACCAGTATTCATCAACCTACTCTGTCCAGGCCCTCCCTTTCCAATTCAGTCTGATTTCTGTTCATTCTTCTTATATCTTTCTCTATTTTTCGGTGTAATGTGTTTCTTGACCTTCGTTTTTTCCTTTGACATTGAGGGTTCCAAATGAGGGATTGTCTCGCGACGCAGTTGGCTGCTTTCCTCAATGCGTTCTATCCACTTCCACCGCTTCTTCCTCATTTCCTCCTCCACTGGAATCTGGTTTGTTCTCTCCCACAGTTCGTTGTTGCTGATGGCGTCTGGCCAACGAATACGAAGTATTTTGCGTAGACAACTGTTAATAAACACTTGTATCTTCTGGATGATGGCTTTGGTAGTTTTCCGAGTTTCCGTATCCATACAGTAGAACTCTTTTGACATTTGTATTGAAAATTCTGACTTTGGTGTTGTTTGATAGTTGTCTGGAGTTCCAGGCGTTCTTTAACTGTAGAAATGCAGCCCTTGCTATCCCTATCCACGCCTTTACATCTGCATGGGATACACCTAGCTCGTCAATAATGCTGCTGAGACATGTTTAGGTCTTAACATCCTCCAATGCATTTCCATCAGGAGCGATTTGTTTGGCGTATATTGTGTTGTATCGGAGAATCTTGCTTTTCCCTTTATGTATGTTTAGGCCTGCTGCTGCCTCACTTGTTGTTGCGAGTGCGATAGAAGATCCAGATCATCTGCGATGTCCAGATCGCCTAGCTGCATCTTGGCTTTCGACTGTATACCGTGCTTCCCTCCAGATGTTGACGTTTTCGTAATCCAGTCAACCTCCAGGAGGAAGAGAATGTGTGAGAGTATGCAACCTAGCCTGAAACCGGTCTTCACTTTGAATGATTGTGTGAGCTGTCCTCTATGCATGATTTCATAGTTTAATACATCATAAGAATACCGTATGATGCTTATGATCTTCATGGCTGGAGTGTAGCAGTAGCTGTCCTGAAGCTAGTCTCAGTTGTTTGTCGTGCTTCTATTGTGTTTCACCCATCCCACACACCTCCACGTTGTACCTTTTATTTCTGCAGCTCCTATCCTCACATATTGTACAAATGTTCCATATACCCAGATAATTGGTTGGTTTGGCTGTGAGAGGGGGCATCGGCCTCGTGACTTCCGAGGGAACTCGGCTTTCATCATGAGGCGTCATAAGTCTACTGAATGGAGACCTTCTGACTTCCAGGGCAGAATTAAAACGGTTTGAATTGATTTTCCTGGTTAGCGTTGTTTAGCAGGTTAGTTTTTTCATGGGGTGGGGCCGCCAAACCCAACCTCAACTCTACTCCTTCATCTGGGCTTGGGACCGGCTATAACCCCAGAGGGGCTCCAGGCGGAGTTATGTATAAATAATTCTCATTCTTTATCTGGGTAATGTCACTCCGCGATGTAAACTACAAAATATTGCACCAGAAGCTTACTGTAATTTCCTTAATATTTCTCTATTGTTTAACTCCTCATCTTTAATGATGACGAATGGTCTGAAAAAAGAATTAATTTAAGGGCTAGTAGCCTGTAAGACGCAACTTTGTTCACTTCCCTTTTGTAGTCTAAGATTTCGAAAATGGAACAGGTTAATTTAAAAGAGCAGTTATTCCGAGGTAGGAAACTTTTGTATATTAAGAGATTTTTTTATAATAAAAGAAAATTGTAAAATATCGTTAGGTATCAGTGATATACATTTAAATCTGCGAGACTGAACTGATCTAACTACAACGCTCAGTCAATTAATCTGGGTAAAGTTTTTTCAGATTCTAGAACGCAAATCTTGAATTGTGTAAAGTAAAACTGTGAAAGTACGTCGATCAACCTAGTTTTGTGTACAATAAATCCCCTACGAATCAATGATCTTTATTAATCAGAAGTTTTATAGATGTGGTTTTGTTAGAAAAATCTATAAAATAATTCACCGTAAAGGCTGAGACAATCATAAATACCTTTCACAATCATACATGATCGATTCACATAGAAACAGAATTTAAGCACAAGCAATATATCCGCCGAACATTGCTATGAAAACTACAATCATTTATTTTGAGAAATAACAAATTAATTCAATCGGCCATCAATTTCTGAGATCAATATGATAGGCTGGGAAGTTTTCAGGCCTGGTTGCAACAGTGAGTAATCATGTTCCCGCTAGTGGAGTTAAGACTGAGTACATAACATTCGGATACTCGAATTGGATTCTAAGAGATGACAGTTCAAACTTCAGTCGATTCGGAATATTATGCAGCACCATCTTCAAATATCCAGGAATTATCCTAATTTATGATTACTAATCGCATGGAAATTTTATGTAGACTGAACAGTTTGAGGTTAGTTTACATCGATAACTGAATTCGGCTAAAAAATAATCTCTAACTAGTGATCAGTGGACAGCCGTCTCGTCTCAGTATTTATTCACTGAAAAAGTGACTTACACTAAGTCACGAAACGTCACAAGAATTGTAACTTTTCTACTCATTGAGATACCATAAATACATTGTTTTTATTATTATCTGAGATTATTTTCAGATCGACTGTCCTGAGTGGTAAAATTGTGACTATTTCAAGGATTGTTTGATATAAGTCGAATCAAATAAAGAGGCGACAATTGTGATCTGATTACTGAGCAGAATTATTCATTTAAGAGGTTGTCTGAATTCGTAAAAGTATATTACAAATCTGAATTAATGAAACTCCAATTATCAGTGAGCTTAATCAGAAAGTAAAGGATGATGATGATTAATTACCAGTTGAACTTAGTCCTAAAACATCTTTTATCTCGATTAGGATTCCCTTGTAAAAAGCACTACAGAGACTTAGTTCCCATCATTTTCTGCGCACTAATAGATAAGTATTTTGAAATCATTTTTATAGCAGCTCGACATAAACTAGAGGACCAGCGGAGACGAATAATTAATAGAATGGGAGTTTTGGTGGGTGGTTACAATTCGTATTTTATTATAACTCAGCAGTTCATGAATCCATCCACAAACAGACTCAACCAAAAAAGGACATAGTACTGATCCAAACCTAAGGATATATTTATGTAGACGTAAGGGTTGGCAAGAACAAGATGTTAGAAGTTACCGAAATGCACCTTAAGTGGACCTCATTGTGTGTCACAGGATGTTAAGTGACATGAGTGTTTACTTCTGTAACTTTCAATAATTCACCTTACTGAAAATAACGAAGTCTGTATCTGGCGTTGAATATCTGTAAGATTAAAACAAGTTACTTGGGGAGTTGTTTGGACTGACAAAGTCTAGTAAGTCATTCCAGTCTGTGGTGGAAATAATCTTCAAACTAGATTAATCTCTACAGATACAATACAAAGCAGTATGAAGTAAGCAATCTCCACCAATCTTTTCACAAACATGCACTTACTAGCGATTACCTTGAAGGCATATTCTTGTAGTTCTAGTGAGGAGCCCTGAAAGTTGGAACCCAACCGACTTGAGAGTGAGAATTCTATCACCGATAGCACTAGCGAATGGTCGTAACGTGTCGTAAATCGTCTCAAATTATAAATATGCACTTCTGGACGGTTACATATTGATCAACATATATCTTGATTCTATGGATAGCTATAGTTCTTGGCTCTCATCATTGAAGGTGGAATGGGTGTGCACAGCCAACGAATTACTTACTATTATGAAATTTTTCTAGCCGACGTCACTCCACACTGAAACATTGTTTTAGACTGGCTTTTTCGAGCTCACCAATGTTCACTTATAATCTAAAGGCTAATTTCCCAACCAATCTCCACGAGGAAGGCCTTAACAACATCGTTCTTAATTATCTTGATTAAAATAACGTTTTATACCTTCATCCAATTCGCCTCACTATTACCGCGTTTAACTAGATTTCCATTATTACTATTATTGTTATGATCACCATGTGAGTATATTTGCGATTGTACAGCTTTGAAAATGAATTCATTGAAACGAATCATTCCTGCATTTAACAAATCTTTCTTGTTTTATGTCTCAATGTACATACTCCTTTCAGTAAGTAGATAAGGCACATTAACAACTAATGAACTTGGTTAATTCTCTGTATATTGTCTGAAAACCGCAGTGATTCCTAAAACTGTACAGTATTGGAAATAAGTATCGGAATTCGAATGTGCCATCTCTTCCATTAAGTCGAGGTCACAGTGACCAAATACTATTTGTGTATCGTACGTTATTAATAATGTCTTGCTGCATTTAAGGGGAAACCATGTTATTCTTATCGTGCAGCATGGTATGGAAACAGACACCTAGTGGGTATACTGTAGTTCCTTAACTTCATTTAAGTAATTCGATATTGTGAACCAAGTGAAATATGCTGATCGTTTCAGCTAATATTCTACTCTTACAACATCCAGCTCATATATTTGTTAGGCAGGTTAGGAAACAAAGCTATGGTAAATAGTAATACCAACAAAATTATATTCCAACGTTTCCTGAGAGCGAACAAACGCATCCAACAGTCAGAACAAAATGACTGATTAACTTTCCTGTTTTCCTTATAGTCGATTTTATTTTCAGTTAACTGATTTTGGTATGTGTCTATGGTCTACATGTCTATGTCACAAAATTTGACCTCTAAATAGTCTCTATCTAAGCATTGCCTTCAAACCTTGACAGACTAACGCCTTGGAAATCTTCACTCTGATTGGTTTAAAGTTTTATCGATTTGCTACCACATATAAGGACAACATCAAAAATGGCCAGTCAATTGTTAGAGCACCAAACGGTCTGCTTTTCATACCAGACGTGTTTTAATCTGTAGTGATGGCGGGAATCGTAAGACCTTTACGTTAAAGCTTAACATGCATCTGTATACATCTTTTGGCTTGCAGATCTATATTTAGTCTTCTATCGTATAATATGTTCTGTACCTTTAAGTTACTGTGATGGATGTAGCTCAACAGATCACATACAATTCAGATTTAACACAAGCTCCTCACCGAGCTGGATCTATTGCCTCTGGAGTACACAATGAAGAAATATCGGAAGAAGAAAAGGCTTTGGATGCGGAAATTTTGAATCTTAAGACGTCAATTACTGATGCACAAAAAGCTGTTGCAGATACAGATTTCTACAAAATGACTGAAAACGTACCTGAACTTGGTAGAATCAAGTTCAAAGTACGTAAGCATTTACGAGGTCACTTAGCTAAAGTGACATCTATTCAGTGGGCCTCCGACAACCAGTTGTTATTGTCTGCTTCTCAAGATGGAAAATTAATCGTTTGGGACACATTTTCTGGGAAGAAAATTCATATGATTGCTTTGAAAACCGCTTGGGTCATTGGATGTGCATTTTCTCCTTCTATGAATTTTGTAGCTAGTGGCGGGTTGGATAATGTTATATCTTATTTCAATCTAAAGTCTCATGATGGCACTGCAGAGTTTGTCCGTGAGTTTACTGGTCATAATGGTTACATCGCATGTGTTCGATTTATTGATGATAATCGATTACTGAGTTGTTCTGGCGATAAAACTTGTGCTCTATGGGACATCGAAAAGTCTAAAATCACTACGAGTTTTCGTGGCCACTCTAATGATGTTAACGCTATTGCCATTTCGAAGCAGATGCCGAATTTGTTTGTTTCCGCGTCTTCAGACCGCACCTGTCGGTTGTGGGATCTTCGATGCAGCGAAGGTATGCAATATTTCGAAGGCCACCAGCAAGATGTTAATGGCGTTGACTTTTTTCCTGTCAATTCGTATGCTTTTGCTTCTTCTTCCGATGATGGCTCGTGTCATTTGTGGGACCTACGAGCTGATCAAGCTATTGGCGTCTATATTGATGATTTCATAAACTGTGGTAGCAGTTGTGTAGCAATTTCAAAGTCGGGTCGTTTGTTACTTGCCGGATACGATGATTTTAACTGTCATGTCTGGGATCTATTACGAGAAGAACGTGTTGGAATCATGTCTGCTCACGAAAATCGAGTCTCTTGTGTAATAGTATCTGATAGCGGTATAGGTGTTGCAACTGGGTCATGGGATTCTAACTGTCTCATATGGACCGCAAAATAGGTATGTATCAACTAAATTCTTGAAGTGATTACTCAAACTTTTTGATACCTTTGGGATCGTTTCTTTTTATTTCTAATGATCTCTTTATTTATACTTTATATGACGTAGAATTTGACCGTTTTAGCGCTGATAATCTCAGTTTTCCTTTTATATTTGTCTGTTCATGAAATTTAGTGTATGTCAATTGCGGTTATGAGTTTGGTTAATAATTTACTCTAAATAAAGCTCATTCCGTGGGAAATCTGTCATAACTAAAACTTTTGTGAAACCACTGGTTCTCGATTTTCCTCATCTATTACATTGTGTATTGTCTTGGTCCTGAACTATGAGTTCTGATTTCTGCCTATTTCTTAAGCTACTGGTAACGTCTGCGCCATGCACTAAACTTATGCTTTAAATACGCTTTTTCACTGATCAATAAAATTGGGTTATATATGCAAGAATGTAGACAAAGATAAATATTTTGCTAATTTTCTTGTGTTTTTAATTTCTTTACATGAAACTAACGTTGATTCGATCTAGTGGAACTGTTGCCCATGATTTTAGCTTATTTTAAATCTGCTTGTAAATTCAGTGAACCAGGTTCTCTATTATGGACTTTTCAGTGCATGATGTGCATTGAATTTAGACTTCGAAAAATTGTTCACAGTTGGTTTTCGGTCCTTTTGCATCACTGTTTTTGTTTTTTAGAAATTATGTTGGTACGTTTTACCTGTAAAGTCACGCCTTGTTTTCAATAAATTTGTGTAATTTGATTAGAATCATACATACTATTTAACAAAGGGATTTTTCTTTCAGTTACGTCCCTGCTTAAAAATATAATCGAGCAAATGGGGTATCCTTCAATTATTTTTAACCCTCCGTACACTAGAAAGTCTAATCAGCTTCCGCAAAGCTATCGATTTCAGAAATAAAAAACGCTGGTAATAGTTTGTGGTCCGAGAAATTTACATCAATGTTCTCTTTATATTTGCAACCTTGGGTTACTAGTTGGGTTTAATTATTGCAACCGTTCAGTCGAGTTACATTGACTAGAACACTTGCCCTCTGTGTTCTCACTATGCCAACTAAGTCGTTCGATAAGTGACTAAGGTAAGCGATATCTGGAATGAAGCTGTGTTACCTACTGTATGGTAATATGAAGTCAGTGGGAGTATTTCTTGCGGGTAACCAACCTCAACAACAATCCTGCCTATCCACAAAGTGAAACTAAACCCTACCCCTCAGTAGTGTCTGATAGGTTCCTAGTAATCAAAAGCAACCTACGGGGAGTTTGGAATCTACCTCCGACAGCAGTCCATCGTCCTCTGCGACCAAACGTCATGGTTAGAAAGGATTTGTCCATAAGTCCGGTTCTATTAATGAAGTACTGTAATTATAGCGATAGTTTCAATTTTCAAATAGTCTGTCACTTCAAAGGTTAAACTAATCCTTTTTCGTTCTTAGGAATATAAATCATTTGTTTCAGTTTTCCTAGGAATCTTATTCTTATTGTGTTAACATAAAGGATAAAAAGAGTTGGACCCTGACCCCTGGCTCGGTGAGAAATGCGAATTACCTATATCGCTATCAGCCAGCATAGGAGAGTTTTAAGTAGCAGGCTGTTGTTCATTCCGGAGCATATCTCTTCGGATTACAGCCATTATCTAGTACGATAGTGCATTGGCATTTGGGAATTCTGTTATAGAAATCCTTCTTGACTTGTTAAGTTAATTGTAGAGGTCTGCGTTCAGGTGGTCAAACATTTTCACTAAAAGCAGTTGCGGCATTATTTCGAGTCTGGGGGCGAATGTAATCCCACCGGGTTGATCAAATTCCTTCGTAATAACCTCAGAGAAATTAGTTCGGCTAGTACAGTGCCCGTTATGCTCAGACGCCTATATGTAGCGCAAGAATCGCAAATCCGAGACCTATTCATGATCTCATCAAAAGTGTACCTTTCGACAAGTTTTAAAACAATGGTACACACAACACGTGCATAGTCATCTTTGTTTACCCATATGTGGCTTTGGCTCTGTCTGCTCGTAAGTCTTGTGGCAATATTTGCTATTAGAACGGTTGCAAACAAACACATAAACACATTAAAGTTCCTCTACCCTGGTCAAGCTAGGGCTGAGGGCGAACATTTCCTTACTGGATTGAAGATATCAGTCACGTTATAGGATTTTGACTCATTTCATTGCTGCTCATGATTGCTAACTACGATTGCGTTCCTGTGGAAACCAGCTTCATATCTCAAGTACAACATTTAATCAGTTAGCAATTAAGGATATTTGTTGAACGTACTTATATGTCAATACTAACCCATGCTAATCGGTCAGTCAGTTACAACGTAGGACTACGTAAATAAGTACATCAGTTCAAGTTGCCGTATCATAACAGAGACGCAATTGTAAATTCAAATGACAGTAATAGAGGTAGCTGAAGTATCAGCAGTTATCGAAGAGATTAGGGTTCGAAGACATTCAAGAAGTAGAATCTAGTGAAATAAACGTAAAAGGGAAAAGATAAAGGTGATGAGGAATTCAGAAGGTTAGGACTTGAGAGAACACAATGAATGCACCTGCGCCATTGCAAACGGTTTTGAGACATGTCATTCACGGTCTCTAACCATCGATTGCTATCATCCCGCAAGCCCCAAACAGGTAGTCTACACCTACCGACATGGCTCAGTCCACTTGTCAGTGACTTTATGCATTTCTGCCATGTTTTGGTTTGGCCGCCCCTAACCTTCTGACAACCTATTCCTACACCGCGAAATATAGCTTGACGAGGTAGTTGGTGGTTAGGCATACGCAGCACATGTCCCAAACACTTCAACTGATGAAGTTTCAATACTATATCTAAAGACCTGCCATCCTTACCTGGCTCCCGCATCCTAACAGCAGCATTGCTTACTCGGTTGTCCAGTGATACACAAGCAATGCTTCGGAGACACCCATGATCGAAGACAAGCAACCTACGAATATCTTGTACTCTGATAGGCCATATTTGACAGCCATAAAGTAGGACGGAGTGAACTACTGCGCAGCAAACTCGTCCTTTCGTTAGCAGACGGATATCTCTCCTACGCCTGGTTTTCTCTAGTCTGCTCTTATTGTATTTTCTTGTAAATTGTCACAATCAGCGATTGAGACCAGTCGGATCGGATCACGTCCAGTTCCCAAATTCTACGTAAGATCTCAGTCAGTCTAACTGTTAGAACTGGGTCACCATCCTTAAAAATATCAGGGGTCAATCTATCAGCACCCGCTGCTCGCCCTCGCTTCAGATTTCTCATGGCTCTCTCAACTTCAAAAAGGCTCGGAGGACTTGAATGGTTGAGATCAAGTCTTTCATTCTTTCTATTGTAGCTATTTACCGAATCAGAAGGCAGATGCACTACTTAAAAATCTGAATGTGAATGATCGCTTATTGTTACCTATGACCGCTGTTAGCGATCATTGCGTAGGCCTCTCGTTTCCTTGCGCTTAAGCCTACTCCGCTCCTCATTATGTTCAGAGCCGGACCGGATGAGTTCCCGATCATCTGTCAGTTCAGTAGATGCTACTCGGATCCACTGATTCTCCCCAACTTTATCGCTTGCTTGGCTGGCAAATATCACTGTGTCCACGGCATTTTGGATACCATTCCAAGTAACTTCATGATGTACATAAATTTCATGGCTGTCTAACTGTTTCTCTAGTTATCCCTATTTTATACTCCTGTCTGCTATCGTTTAGTAGAACTGTAAGAAGTTTCCTTGCTATCTGTCCGATGAACAGTGACACCAAACAAGTATCTTCCGGTTCTATTTAGTCTACCTACTTGAGCATTAAAGTCATCATCCACTAGTATATTACATCAGAGCGCCTAACGGTTTGAAGGAGGTCCGAAAGCATTTTGTAGAATTCATCTTTACTTCATCTGAACAGCACTCAGTGGGAGCGTAGGCAGAGACAACTCCAAGTGACCCCATCTTTCCGAGTTCCTACTGTCCCGTTAATTCGGACAGCGCACAAGTGATCACCTACTATGATACAATCTATCTAAGAGCGCTAGTTGTGCTCTAGATCTCAATACCGTACCTATTCCAGCAAGGTCACGAGAAGCAACAGTGGGGCTCTCAGATACGTGAGGCGTAAATCGAGCTTCTTTATTTTGACATGGTGAGGTCAAATGAATGACTGTACTTGGATCCTGTATGCGCGTTTCGGAGACGCAGCATACATCGATGGCGCGAGACTGTGAAGTCCTAGCTAAGGAAGCCTGTTGTCCTATTCGGAACAAGGCTCGGACATTTAAAGCTGCAACATGTAGTTTAGAGCAGGGTTTCAGGTGACTGGGAAGTAGAATCGTCTGCATTAGCTTTGCGGGGTGATAAGGTAATGTGAGAAGGTTTGGATTGTGATCGATTCGGTCTTGTGTGCTGTTGCGGGTATGTGGGCGGATTTTACTTCACCGCTGCCAAAAGCATTCAAGGGTGTTTCCTGAGGAACCTTAAAAGGAGGGTAGATTAGTGTCGGTCTTACAGACCTGGGAGCGTGACTGCAGAGCCAACGAGACAACTGCTTGAGGCCGGTCGCGCACAGCCCCTTCTATTATAAGTTTTTATAGTGTTATCTATGATCTTTTTACAAGGCCTTATCGCCGGAGACGGAAATTCATGAGGTAAGGTGAGGTGTGACACTTTTAGGATCGACCTTTTCTAGCCCTTCCTTCCTTGTGAGAAGGAAGCATCGCCGCATATGCTGGTTTTCCGAGGGAAACACCTTACTGCTGTCACACCTCTCTACAGTCAGCAGTACGACTTCACCCTCAGACCTTGAGTAGCTGCTTTTAGTCTTATCTCTCTTCTCCAATCGACCTTCCTGGCATGATAGAACTTTCAGAAACTTATGTTACGGCTAAAATAGCTCGGTTGAATCATCTTGATAGGCAATCCCGACCATCGCGTCAAGGTAGCAACTACGGTCGGACTTGAACCGTGGAGTAAGTCGTGCCGAGGTTCGAAAGAGGGTATTAGGTACTTAGGGCAAATCAGTTGATGGTATAGTGAGTTCATTGGTTGTGTTGTTTGGGAAATGTGTCGTGTATACTAGACCACCTCGATGAGTGTCGTTGTCTGATATAGGAATAGATTGGAAGATTGCCGGTGTCGATCAGACCAACACAGCACAAATTCATGGAGTCATTTCGATCTGGAATGAGTCATGTTAATAACTGTAGGGGTTCGCATGGTCTCCTTAACCAGCGTTTAGAGACTTTGGATGACATTTCGTAAAATCGTTTGCAATAGCGCGGGTCCATCCATTCTTCTTCCAATTTCTAATTTTATGAATTCCGCTGAAGATTTTTGAAAAATCTGTCTCCTGAGTCATATCTTTAATCCCACAGTGATTTCGCTATTACCTCTACTACTCTGGTTTTCGGTCTGATAATTTCACCCCTCTATTCCATTGGGATATAGTAAATAGACCTCATACCTACGTATCTCGTTGTACGTTGCATCACCGACTGACTGAAACACCTATCTTGTTATATCAGTATGATATATGGTGCAAGGATTTTCGAACCCAGATTTTTAAGTAGCACATCCGCGTTCTGATTCTGTAAATGGCTACAATAGAAAGGATGAAAGACTTGATCTCAACCGTTCATCACAGTCTTCCGTTAACTCTACTACCATGTTTTTGGATTCCCTTCTGTCCGTTTGTGGTGTGGTAACTTTAATTGACGTACGTACGTACCAAGTTCTACGTTGTCGCTGACTGACTGAATTACCGTTCAATTGAGATTTTACAACGATATAGCTGAAGCCAGGTTGCAACGGTGGTAATAAATCCATTATTCCACTCTAAGTTCTTAGCATAATTTTGTAGATTTGCTCATCACTACTGATTACATTTCTTTGGTTCATTTTACGTTTTCGTTTCTTTTATAAATTTTTTGTGTGTACAGAGAAATGGCACTTAAAATTGATGAAATATCCTCCGAAGATCTGCATTGTTCACTCGATCAATATGTCGTCAGTATTTTTAATTATCTGCGTATTTCGACGGTTTAACTGATGTTTACTGCGAGAAATTTCCCTCCTCCTTTTGGGGTTTTATCCGACTTCATGATCACTCCTGCAGACTTGGTGTAACACATTTTTCCGAACTCCGTGCTTGGTCATTGGGAAAAGTGTTGTACTTTCCATTTGCTGACTCTCGAAGACGTCCGTAACGTCTGTTTTAGCAGTAGTGCGTGAAGTAGCTTGTCCAGTTTTCAGCTTCAGTAACTAGACTCATGTTGCAATGGTGCGTTAAGAAGTCCAGAAAGTATCGTACAACTACGGAAAAGTTGATTTGTCCTTTATAAATTGATTACATTCTGGACTATGGATTAGATAATATCAAAACTTCAATGACAGATAACACGCTTTAATCATATCAACCTGCACCCATACTGCTTGCAAATATTCCCCATCGGGATTCTGTTAGTATCTTTATTTATGTAAACAGAAGCCAACTCAGTTTGTTGTATCTGGATGTAGATGAGGGTTAGCAACTAATATAATAGAAAGAAAATTCGATTACAACAAATCATATTATTCTGCGTAATGCTCCACTTGGTTACTGTACCTTTGATTTAACCAGTTGGTAGTCAACGTTGGCAAGTTATTAAAATGTTGTCTGTTGCGTGATTGGTATTTCAACTCCGCTAGTTTTCTAGGTTGGGTCTGTTTTTCCCCATGTGTAAGTTTGTCCGTAGCAGCTTAATCGTTTTTAACCGAAATGTGTATTATTCTCTTATTTATGGTTCTCACTTGTAAACATCCTTTTCTTGTTGGTACTCTCAAGGTCCAAAAACAAACAACTACGGCTATCATGTAACCTCATTTGGGACGTAAAAAATCATTGTTTTTCAGTTCAGATTTTTCACATTCCTGTTCATTCATATCCTGAAATGTCTTAAGAACCAGATATCATGAAACGTAGATCATTCATGCATTTTTGGTGATTTTCTCTGACTAACCGATAAAAACATGCATGTGTTGTAATTACGTCAAGAAACAGATACCAACTGACTCAATTTTTCCGATGAATATTGTTTGGTGTTTACAAGCCTTTGTGTATACCAATGGTAGAAAACTTTATTCTGTTAAGTAGGGAGGTGTTGATTTATACTAGTTACCAATTAAGTCAGTTCGCAGTACTATAAATTAGTAGACAGTTTTACAAACTACATTCGTTTCGATCTCAGAGTATCACCAAACAGTATTCGGTTGCTCATATCTGGTACTGTACTCTTTCGAAACTTGGAAGTTTCAAAATTAGAGGTGGTCAATGATTCGATATGAGATCATTAATGATATAGGTTGTATCATTTCGTGACGTACTGAGGAAATAATTCGATTTTACTCTGGTTACTAAGTTGGACTAATTGTTGAAATACTTATCTCTACACTTACCCATACTTGTAACAAGGCATAAAAAACAAGACTTTTTGGTGTAACCTCTGTTGTATAAAGTAAATTTTTCAAATAATAATTCAGTCATTTAGTCTCTTCTCTTTTGATATTCACTTGGGATACGAGCATTATGATTATGTTACTTGACTAAATCATCTAGTTTATCTTAGTGAGTGCCTAACATTAATCCGCTTCATTCGATCTGTCCAATCAATCAATCAATAGCAACGTAGAACTTCGTACGTACGTACATCAGTTCATGTTGCCATACCACGTTAGCACAGACATGTAATTGTCAATTCAAATCCAATAGTAGCAGAGGTAGTAGAGGTATTAGAAGTAGTCGAAGATGTTAGGATTAGAAGATATTATTCAAAAAAATTGACTCTACTCTTAACGGCCATGTTTCACATCCGTATAGTAGAACGGAGCGAACTGAACAGTACATTCGTCCTTTGATTACCAAGCGGATAACCCACCTGCGCAATAGATGACGCAGGTTGGCAAAAGCTAATCGAGCCTTTTGTATCCGATCTGAGATCTCGTCAGTCCCCAGCCCATTAGCACTGATGAGACTCCCCAGATACGTTCGACTACACACTCAGTTTTACTAGTTCAGGTGCCGACGCAACCCAGTCTTGAAGCAACGTTTTTCATTTCGAGGGTGAGAACCGCATCCCGAACATGCTTGCATTGTTGCTCAAGGTGGTCAGAAGACTGCATTTTGTCAACGTCTCCACCAAATAGAACTATGTCATTGGCATATTCTAGGTCAGTAAGCAAATTTTCCTGGTAGAAAGTCGACTCCTGAAAAGTCGGACTAAGATAATGTTATATCTAGGAGCATGTCTATGATAAAATTAAACAAGAATGGGGAAAGTGGACATCCTGACGGACACCACCTGAAGTAAAGAATTCCGGTGACAGTTCGCCATAAGCTCTCACTCGACCAGTGGTGTTCGAGTAGAGTGCTTGTATAAGGTTAATGTATTTCTTTTGTACACCTTTTGATGACAGACACTGCCACAGAACCTCACGATCCACAGAGTCAAATGCCGCCTTAAGGTGCAAGAAGACAACTATTGTTGGACGTCTAAATGTATGTCTGTGTTCCAGGACCTGTCTTAGTGTAAAGATGTGGTCTATACATCCTCATTCAGGTCAGAAACCAGCCTGGTTTTCTCTAGTCAGCTCGAGCAGTAGTTAGGCGTGTATATATAATAGAGGCTAACAATTTAGAAACTATATTGGTTGGACTTACTCCCCTGTGATTGTCACAGGAAGACTTTTGTCCTTTCTTATAAATTAGAACAATCAAGGATTGAGACCAGTTTGATTGGATTGTGTCCAGTTGCCAGATTCTACCAAAGATCTCCTAAAACTGGACCACCATCCTTGAAAATTTCAGGGGTACATCTGTCAGCACCCGCTGCTCTCCCTCGCTTCAGATTTTCTATAGCCTCTTCAACTTCATAACGGTTAGGAGGACAAACGTCGAGTTGCCATTCAGGATGACTGGAGATCGTGGGCAACCGAAATGTGTCTGGATACCAGTTGAACTGATCCCTGAAGTTTTCTACCCATCGATCCAGTCTCCTGGATTGAGAATGAATAATAAGACCAGCCTTTCCCTAGATAGTCTCACGCGCATTCGGGTTCCTAATACCAGTTTCCTTGATGAGTCTGAATAGTTGCCTACTATTGCCTATCGCCGCTTCCTTTTCCATCTCTCTCGCTTTTGTCACCCACCACTGTTCGCGGTCGTTTCGTAGGCTTTTTATCAGCCCGCGCTTAAGCTGACTTCGTTCTTCATCATGTTTAGAGCCAGATGGGATCATTCTTGAGCATCCATCAGTTCAGAAGATGCTACTGAGATTCATGGCTTCTTCCTAGACTTGTGGTTTACCTTACTAGAAGATATCACTGCTGTTTCCACACCCTTTTTGATATCATTCCGAGGTCCCTCCAGATAGTCGCCGAACTGTTTTTGTAGTTGTTCCTGAAATATATTCTTAGCTTTATTATCATTGAACAGAACCCTGAGAGGTTTCCTCGCAGTGTCCTTCCTACGTCCAGTAAGCCTCAAACAAATACGCGCTCGCACTAGGGCATGATCTGAATCTAAACATGTACCCCAGAACGAGCGACAGTTCTATATCGAGCCCCTCCATCGGTGGCTGATGGCGATGTGATCTAGTTGGGTCCAGCGTTGAGATGACTTCGGGTGTCTCCAGGTCAAAAGATATTTTGCCTTATGCCTGAAGTTTGTGCTTGCTAGAAACAGGTGGTTATCTGAGCACAGTGGCAGTTGCCATTATCCGTTCTATTAGCCTTAAGATCCACCCAGGTGTATTTCCTGTTCACCTCGTGTACCACTTGATCATTGAAGTCAACAGCGATTATTACTACATTAGAGCGATTAACGGTTTGAAGGAGGTTCGGAAGCTCTCCATAAAACCCATCTTTCACCTCGTCTGAACTGCAGTCAGTTGGAGCGTAGTCAGATACGACGAAGAGGCAACGGCGAGTGTCCCTGTCTTTCTGAGTCCTTACTGACCCGTTTAGTCGGACAGCGCTTAAGCGAATGTCTACTGGGGTCCAGTCTAGAAAGCTAGTTCTGCGCGAGATCCACCTAAGCAGCATCAGGGCTACCGGGTACACGAAGAGTAAATCGAGCTGCTTCTTTTTTTTGACACTGTGACATCAAATTAATGACTTTACTAGGATCCTGTATGCGCATTTCTGAGACGCAGCATACATCGATGGTACGAGATTCCAGAGTCCTAGCTAAGTAAGCCTGTTGTCCTATTTGACATTATGTGCGGACATTAAAAGCTCCAACATGTAGTTTAGAGCGGGGTTTAAGGAGACCAGGAATAATGTTTCGTGAACTCGAGTTGTTTGCATTAGTAGTGCAGGGTGTCAAAGGGATGTGAGAAGGGTGAGAGGTGGAGATAAGAGAGATGTTATGGGGTGTAGGAATGAATTGATTGTGACCAATTTGGTTTCGTGTGCTGTTACGGCTATGAGGGCTGATATCACTTCCCGGTTGCCCGCACACCGTTGAAGTTTTTTTCTTGAGTGACCTGGAAAAGAAGAAAGATTAGTGTTGGTCCTAACGACCCGGGAGCGTGATCGCAGAGCCCAAGGAACTACTTGGGGCCGGTAAAGCACGACCTTTTTATGAAGGATTTTTCGAGTATTAGCTCCGCTCTTGAAAGCCCTTAGTGGGCACCCTTACCGCTGAAGACGGAAATTCATGAGGTAAGGTGAGGTGTGACACTTTTAGGATCGACCTTTTCTAGCCCTTCCTTCCTTGTGAGAAGGAAGCATCGCCGCATATGCTGGTTTTCCGAGGGAAACACCTTACTGCTGTCACGCCCCTCTGCAGTCAGCAGTACGACTTCGCCCTCAGACCTTGAGTAGCTGCTTTTAGTCTCATCGTTCTCCAATCGACCTTCCTGGCATGGTTAAACCTTCAGGAACATATGTTCCAGCCAGTATAGCTCGGTTGGGTCATCGCGATAGGCAAGCCCGACCACCACGTCAAGGTAGTAGCTTCGGTCGGGCGATATGTCTAATACTCGTTATTTAATACACCTTTTTGAATATATTTGGAGTTCGCTGTTAGTTATGACGATGTATATTCTAGTTTAAGTAATACTTTATCTACAGAGCACATCGTCCCTCTCTATTACTATTATTTTTCACTATTTAGACATTAAAATTAATATTCTCTCCTGATCTCTGTATTTTATTACTAACCTTCATTCTGTAGAAATTGTTCTCACTTCAGCATATCAACATTCAATTGAGCTACAGAAGTAGTAAGATATGAGTAACGTAGGACCTGGCAGTAGCAAACAGTTGTTTACACGAAATTTAGTTATTTTGTTACAAATAAAATAGCAGCAGTTATAATGACTGGAACATATTATCATGAAAGTTCTATCATGCCAGGAAGGTCGATTGGAGAAGAGAGATAAGACTAAAAGCAGCTACTCAAGGTCTGAGGGTGAAGTCGTACTGCTGACTGTAGAGAGGTGTGACAGCAGTAAGGTGTTTCCCTCGGAAAACCAGCATATGCGGCGATGCTTCCTTCTCACAAGGAAGGAAGGGCTAGAAAAGGTCGATCCTAAAAGTGTCACACCTCACCTTACCTCATGAATTTCCGTCTCCGGCGATAAGGCCTTGTAAAAAGATCATAGATAACACTATAAAAACTTATAATAGAAGGGGCTGTGCGCGACCGGCCTCAAGCAGTTGTCTCGTTGGCTCTGCAGTCACGCTCCCAGGTCTGTAAGACCGACACTAATCTACCCTCCTTTTAAGGTTCCTCAGGAAACACCCTTGAATGCTTTTGGCAGCGGTGAAGTAAAATCCGCCCACATACCCGCAACAGCACACAAGACCGAATCGATCACAATCCAAACCTTCTCACATTACCTTATCACCCCGCAAAGCTAATGCAGACGATTCTACTTCCCAGTCACCTGAAACCCTGCTCTAAACTACATGTTGCAGCTTTAAATGTCCGAGCCTTGTTCCGAATAGGACAACAGGCTTCCTTAGCTAGGACTTCACAGTCTCGCGCCATCGATGTATGCTGCGTCTCCGAAACGCGCATACAGGATCCAAGTACAGTCATTCATTTGACCTCACCATGTCAAAATAAAGAAGCTCGATTTACGCCTCACGTATCTGAGAGCCCCACTGTTGCTTCTCGTGACCTTGCTGGAATAGGTACGGCATTGAGATCTAGAGCACAACTAGCGCTCTTAGATAGATTGTATCATAGTAGGTGATCACTTGTGCGCTGTCCGAATTAACGGGACAGTAGGAACTCGGAAAGATGGGGTCACTTGGAGTTGTCTCTGCCTACGCTCCCACTGAGTGCTGTTCAGATGAAGTAAAGATGAATTCTACAAAATGCTTTCGGACCTCCTTCAAACCGTTAGGCGCTCTGATGTAATATACTAGTGGATGATGACTTTAATGCTCAAGTAGGTAGACTAAATAGAACCGGAAGATACTTGTTTGGTGTCACTGTTCATCGGACAGATAGCAAGGAAACTTCTTACAGTTCTACTAAACGATAGCAGACAGGAGTATAAAATAGGGATAAC